AAGAGAGAGGAGGGAGAGAAGAGGATCAGGGTCAATTCAAAGCCAGAGGAGACACCCATGATTAGGGGACAGGAAGAAGATGAAGACTTTGGTGGAACCCTGAGAGCTGGCTTCAAGTAGTCGGAGGGCTGCCCTGCGGAAAAGGGATTAGTCTGTTCTGACAGGCCCTCGAGGGCCGAACTAGCAGCCATGGCTGGAAGCTGCAGGTAGGCAGACGTAGATTCGATGTAGGGGAACAACTCCCTAATAAAGCTGTCCAAATGTGGGATGGACTGCCCCATGGAGCAGCTTCACTGGTTTGCTACTGTTCAGTCGTTTTCAGTCATGTCCGATTCTCCATGACTCCATTTGGGATTTTCTTGGCAGAGATGCTGGAGTAGTTTGCCATTTCCTTCTCTAGCTCATTATTACAGATGAGAAAACTGAGGCAAATAAGGTTTAGTGACTTGCCCAGGGTCACACAGCTATGACGTGTCTGAGGTCAGATTTGAACTCAGGAAGAGGAGTCTTCCTGCCTCCAGGTCTAGTGCTCTGTCCACTGTGCCACCTAGCTGTCCCTTATCCTCACTGGAGGAGCAAAAACTGGATGACCACTCACTGGGGATATTGTCCAAAGGATTCTTGTTTCAGTTGCACTAGATGGCCTCTGAAGTTCCTTCCAATTCTAGGCTGCTGAGAATCAGCAAAGACAGAGTAGGAGCAGTCAGGGAGGTAGGAGGAGAGCCGAGGGAACATCCTGGAAGCCAAGGGGGAACGTGTATCTCGGGTCTCAGGAGAGGAGGATGCTAAGGAGCTGGGGGGTAGGGAGCACTGAAGCACCCAGCTCCCATGGCACTCTTGCTATTGTAGAGCAGCTGAGGAGTTAATTAGAGGAGTTTGGGGAGCAGAGGGGGATATTTCAGTCTACCATGAAGTAGCAAGACAGTTGGTGTATGAAAATATTCATAGCAGCTCTTTTCGTTGAGATAATGAAATGGAAACACAGGGGGTGTCCATCAACTAGGAATGGTTGAACAAAATATGGTACATGAATGGAACAGAATAGGGTTATGCTGTAATAATAGCTTCTGGCTAGCATTTATAGAGTACTTTAAGGTTTGCAAAGTGCTGTACAGGGTTTGCTCCTCACCACAACCCCGGCAGGTGGGTGCTGTTGTTTTTCCTATTTTAGCAATGAGGAAACCAAGGCTGAGAAGTTAATGACTTGCCTAGGGTCACAGAGCTAGTAAGCGGCTGAGGCAGAAGTTGCATTCAGGTCTCCCTGGCTCCACACTCAGCACTCTTGCCCACTGCACCACCTAGCTGTCTAGGTAAGAAATGATGAAAGCTTCAGTTTCAGAGAAACCTGGGAAGACTTAGATGAACTGATGCAGAACAAAATGAGCAGAACCAAGAGAACAATTTATATAATGACTACAACTATGTAAAGAAAAACAACTCTGAAAGACTAGAGAACTCATATCCAGTCAACAACCATGCAGACTCAAGAGGACCAAGAGGATGATGAACGAATGGATGTGAAGAAGCATTTATTAAGCACTTAGTAGATGCCAAGCCCCGTGAGAAGCTCAGAGCATATGATTTTGTTGTTTCACTCCTGTCTGACTCTTCCTGACCCCACATGGGGTTTTCTTGGCAAATATACTGGAGTGGTTTGCCATTTCTTTCTCCAGCTCATTTTCCAGATGAGGAAACTGAGGCAATCAGGGTGAAATGACACACAGTTTTAGTAAGGCCTGAGGCCAGATTTGAACTCAGGAAAATGAGTCTTCCTGACTCCAGACCCAGCACTCTACCAAGTTCCCTTTTGCAACTGCCCCCAAATGTAACATGTCTAAAATGGAACTTCTCCCCTCTGGAAAACTGCCTTTCCTACTGAACATTCTACTGTAGGCACCACCGTCCCTCATGCCTTCCCCCCCAAGCTCCAAACTTCCAAGTTAATTCCTCCTTCCTCCTCCTCCTCCAATTTTTATACAGTTGGTGCCAAGTGGGTGTAATACAGGCAGAAATGGCTCTAGCTTTGGAGCCAAAGGGCTCTAATTCTGGCTATTCCTTATTTGCTGTGTGACCTGAGGTAAATCACGCCCCCTCTGAGCCTCTGACCCCTCCCCTTACAGAGGAAGGGGATGGACCAGATGGTCTATGAAGTCATTCTTATCTCTAAATCTCCCAAGTTTCACCAGTTTTGCTTCTGCAGTCTCTCTCCCAGAGGCATCCTTCCTTCCACTTGTTCTGCCCTAGAGGAGATAGCAGAACCCAGGCAACCAAGGTCGATGCTCTGCCTCCTTCCAGAGAGCAAATCTAAGGACCTGGGGTGGTGCAGAGACCCCCCTGCAGGGCAGGAAGGGCCCTCGTGCTCTCTCGGCTGTTCCTTCAGAAGCCTGCCTCGACCTCTATGCTCAGAGCCTCTAGCCCTGCTCACCAGCCACCCTTGAAGGGCGCTGGATGAGACCTGGGACCCCGAGGCCCGGCAGCTTCCTCCCCTCCGGTTGTGCGTGCCCTGGACCGGGAGTTCCTCTGGGCAGAGACTGCCTCACTCAGTGCTGACATCCCACCGGCAAAGCTGGGGGGGTTGGGGGGAAGCCTACTGTATGCTGAACAAAGGCTCAATTAAGGCCTATTCCAGGCCCGACACGGCTGCCTGTAAAGAACTGACAGGCTGAATCGAAGCTCTTTTCAAAGCCCTCTCTCAAAAGAGCACTGGGGCGTGAGTGCTAAGCAGCCCCGCTAAGCACTGCCAGTGTGCGTTACTGAAGGGACTGGCGAGGAGAAGAAACTCCCGCTCCCTGAAGGCTGGTGAGTCAGGAGAGACAGACAGTAATTAGCGGCTCTTGGCATCGGTGGCCCATCCAGCCTGCTTCTCCCTGGGTGGCGCCGGCCCAGCGGTCGCAGCCCCAGCCAGGCCACAGAAGTCACCCAGAACTGCTAGACAAAAGGGGGAATCGGGGCAGTGAGATGTCTGGATATCATCTGGGGCACCATCCTGCTACAGACCCTGGCACAACTCCTTTCATGCGGCAGGGGCTCCAGGGGGACCATCCTGGGCTCCTGAACACTCAATACCGGCACCCATTTTCATAGCTCTTAAAGGCTTCATCTGAGCCTCACAATCATTTTTTTCGGCTGGGATGGGGGAAGGGGAGGGAGCAGGCCCAGACCTGTGCTTACCTCAGTGTAGGGAAGTCCAGGTGTGGGAACTCCCTTCCCCATGCAGGTTGCCGATTCATCTGGCAACAGAGTCTTGGAGAATGAGTTGTCCAGGGACCCTGAGAGATTACCTTGCTTGTGAAATGTCACAAAGTGGTGGCTTAGATAGAATTTGAACTCAGCTCTTCTCAACTCCAAGGTGGCCCCTTTATCTATTCTGCAACGTCACCTCTCCTAATCACTAGGTATGATTATTCCCATTCTCACCGAAGAAGAAACTGAGGCTTACACAGAGTGACTCGCCCACAGACACACAGCTACTAAGTACTAAAGCTGGGATTCGAATCCAGGCCTCTCCTAATTCCAAACCGAGACCTTCCTTTGCTTTCTTTCTTCCCATGAACTTAACAATGATGAACACTTCGGTGTATGAAGAAGAACAGAAAAAGAGGCTTGTGCACTGCTCAGCTTGCTTGTCCGTGACTCTGGGTCACTACTCCTTTGGGTTCCATTCAGTGGAAATGGTCTACTCTGCCCGGCTTTTGTGAATTCTTTCTTTCTTGTCTTGTCTCAAAGAGACTGTAACCTCCTTCAGGGGAGAAGCTCATAGCCCAGAGCTGAGGGACACCAGAGCTATTCAATAAAAACTGAAAAAAGCCATCCCCTGATGGGATGAGGAGGAATTCAGTTGGGAGACTGAAGGTTAACCTTTTACTGATAAATATTACCCAATCCCCCAGGCTGGCCACTAGGCAAGGGATCCCCAGACCACTGCCGGACCCTCCCCACTAGCCCTTATGGCCTGTTAGCACCTCCAGAATGTGGGCTCCATTGACAAAGCCTTTGCGAGATTAGGGTCGGCCTCTATAGCACCATGAGCTGTTGGAGGGGGACTATAGTGGAAGATTATTACAGTGATGAATCGTGTGTGTGTGTGTGTGTGTGTGTGTGTGTGTGTGTGGTGTGTGTGTGTGGTGTGTGTGATTGCCGCAGGAATGCACAGTTGGCTGCTAGGTGAAATATGACCTCCAAAGTGTCTGCAGGAAAAAAAAGAGGCATTTCTTATATAAACACCAAGGCTGAGGCAGGAAGTAGGGCTGGGGGAAATGGTGAGGGGCTCTGAGACCCCATGGGCCCACAAGAAGGCCTGGCAGATGGACAAAAAAGTGGGGGGAAGGGAGGAAGAGGTGGGGGAACAGGAAACTGGGCAAGGATAAAAGAAACACATGGGGAGAGAGAATGGGAGGGCAGAGGAAAGGGGCTGGGGAAAGGGGAGAACAGGCCTTTTTATTTCCCAACCCTACTAGGTGGTCTCAAGGTCCAGGTCAGTCAGTAACAAAGCCTCCAGGTTCCAAGAGTCATCTTACAGGCTTGGGGCCTGACATTCCTGCCATAGAACGCCTCTGATACAGCAGCTCATGGTAATGGGGGGAGATGCTGACAAGGCAGGCCCACAGAAGAGACACTGAACTCCACTCCCCCCGCCCCGACTTTGATCCCAAGGGAGAGGGGAGAGAAGCAGCTGGTGGACGTGTCTATTGTCTCTGGTCCAATCCCTCTGTGTCTGCTCCAGACACACAGAGGTACAGATGGACCTGGCTTCAGCACACTGGGAGGGGACACCTGCCCTCCCCACCCCGACCCCCCCAACGCCTCCTAGCACTGCCTCAGGCCTCAGGTGTGCAGGGGGCTCCATGCTCTCCTGCCCCCAAAGCCAGATGGAAGAGTTGGGGCTCGGGTGAAGTTGTCACCTTGGCCCTGGGGCTGCCTGTGCTTCATCAGGCTCTGCGGGTAAAGGGCACCGAGGTACCAGCCCTCCCCCTCCCCTGCCCCTCAGACCCGGGGCTCACCTTTGTCTCAGCCAGTTGGCGCTTGAGGAGCTGCAGGGCCTCTGTGTGTTCCCGTTCACTGTCCTGCAAGGCCTGAAGCTGCTCCTTTAATTCCCTCTAAAACAGATAAGAGCACAGGAGTGAGGCCTCAGACAGAAAGGACCAGATTCCATGCTGGGAAGGGCCTGAGGGGCTTCAGCTGCCTACCAGGCACCCAGCAGCTGGGAAGGAAGCTGTTGGCCCGTCAAAGCTCAGGCTCCACAGACTCACAGAATGTTAACATCTCAGAGCTGGAAGGGACCTCAGAGATCATCTCATGGAAACTGTAGCTGAACATTAGGAGATCCCTGACAAACGGCCATCAGGGCCTTGGCTACAAAACCTCCACCCAGGAGAAAACCACTGCCTACTGCAGGTCAGCCCTCATGGTTAGGAAGCAGAAATGTGCCTTTCTGTCTCTTCCCCACCACTGTTCCTCATCCTGACCTCTGGGGCCGAGTAGAAAAAGGGTAATCCTTCCATGGGAAAGCCCTTCAAATACCTGAAGACAGATGCCTGTCTCTAACTCTTCTTTTCTCCAGGATAAACTGATCCAAATACAGCATTGTCCCTCGTCCTTTTCTCATTCTGGTCTCCCACTTCTGAAAATGCTCAAATTTACTCCCATCTTACTAAAAAGTAGAAGGTAAAATCAAACATGGTAATACAGACAAGATCTGACCAGGAAGGATGACAATAAGGTTAATATTTCCCCACCTAGAGGTAGTAGGGAGCCACAGAATGTTATACACATCTTCAGTCAAGTCAACAAGCATTTATTCCTACTACATTATGTAGTTTGGTGGTATGGCAGATAGAGTGCTGGACTAGGAATCAGGAAGACTTATCTTCTTGCATTCAAATCCAGCCTGGGATGTTTATTAGCTGTGTGACCCTGGGTAAGTCACTTAACCCTGATTGCCTCAGGTTACTCATCTGTAAAATGAGCTGGAGAAGGAAACGGCAAACCACTCCAGTATCTCTACTAAGAAAACCCCAAATGGGGTCATGAAGAGTCAGCCATGACTGAAGCAAATGAACAGCAATAAATGTTTATGTGCCTGGAGTTGTGCTAAGTGTCAGGGATACAAAGAAAGGTAAAGACAGTCTGTGCCCAGAGTAATATGGGAGAGAACATGCAAACAACTATGGATAAACAAGGGGTGTATATACATATATGTATGTTAAGTAGGAGATAATCTCAGAAGGGGGATTGGGAAGGGTTTCCTATCGAAGGCTGGACCTTGGCTGGGCTTTGAAAGAATCCAGGGAAGGTAGGGATGAGAAAGAAGAGCATTCCAGGCATGGGGGACAGCCAGAGAGAATGCTGGAGTCAGGAGATGGGGAGTCTTGTGCGAGGAACAGTAAGTCGACCAGGGTCGACAGATCACAGAGCACAGGGAGAGAAGTGTAAGAAGACTGGAAAGATAGGAAGGAGCCAGGTTATGGCAGGGGGGCTCCTCCAGGGTGCCATGCAGGCAGATGCTTAACAATTGGCTCTCTGAAAAAACAGTCCCTCCCCCAAAATGACAGACTTTAAAGTTTATTGTGCATTATTAAATTTTCCCCATCATTTGAAGTCTAGACAATCAACAAAACAACAAACCAAGCCCTGATTTGTAGCATCTGCCCATTTCCAAGGTTTTGTAAATGCTCACCCTGAAAATGTAACAATTTAACAATCAATCAGTTCTCCTACTTCCTTTACTCTCTCCCTTAGAGAACTGGTACCAATATACAGTAGTATCCAGGCAAAATAGCATAATGGAAAAAGCTTTGGAGTCAGAGGACTTGAGTTCAAATCCCACGTCTGGTGAGCTTAAACAAGTCACTGAACCTCTCTGGGCCTCAGTTTCCTCAACTGCAAAATAAGGGGGCTGCACTAGACAGCCTCTGCAGTTCCTTCCAGCTCTAGAACTAGAAGACCATGACCCTTTCCACTGCAATCCAATCCAATGAGTATTACAGGACAGGGCCAGGAAGGAGGGCTGAGTAGATGAACTAGCCTGGGGTATTCCCTTCATTCATTCATTCACTGTTTATTCTACATGCACAGTCCTGCTCTAGGTGCTGGTGTAGATGCAAAAATGCCTCACAAAGCTAACAAAAATCTAGTGGTAGGTACAATGTGCAAATATGCAGTCCTAGGCCCCCCTTTCGAGTATTGTCTGCACCATCAGTCATTCTCCTCAGCTCACTGGTCGAAACAGGGGAGCTGGAATATTCTTTGCTCCCCATTGCCCCTGCCTCCACCACTCAGTAACTTTTCCAAAACCTTTGAGGTTCAAATTATGCACATCTTCCACCCAATCAAAATCCTGGTGGCTGTTGTTGACACAGACCCCCTAGGTCACTCCTCATCTTTCCTCAACGAATTTAGTACATGACTCAGAATCTTTCTCTCTTCCCCAACTCCTGCCCTCATACTAGAGGACTTCAACATACATATTGACTCTCCTTCAAACCACTTAATCCTACTCACTTCCCAGGACCTACTCCTCCATCCCACCTCAGCCACACACAAAGATCCTCTTGATCTTACCATCACCCACAAATCACCGTCTCTAAGTTCAAGAATTCTGAAATCCCATTATCTGACCACAATCCAGACTACTTCTCCTTCTGTCTTCTCTTACCAAAGCCTACTCTTTGTCTACATCAAGACCCTTAATCCCTTGACCCCTCAGTTCTCCCCCAGGCCACTCCCTTACACAAGCCACTTCTTTTCCTATTTTCCCAATCCTGATTCCTTGGTGAACCAATTTAATTCTACATTGTCTACCCTGAGTCCCTAGCCTCCTCAATCTATTGCTGATTGTGCCTGGCCAAGTCTTAACCTCTGATCACTCCCATCATTCATTATCTTAGCTCTTACACATGTGCTGCTGAACAAAGGTGTAGAAAATCATACAACTGTTCTGATTAGGTCCACTATAGATCTGTATTACATAACCTCAACTGGGCCCTCACTGCTGCTAAGCAATCCTGTCACACCTCCCTTATCAACTCACTGTCCTCATCTCCATAGTACCTCTTTCTAAACCTTTTCATTCCTCCTCAAACCTTCCCTGTCTCCCTCTGCCCCCACCTTTTCAGTCGAGAACCCTGTCTCTTATTTTACAGAAAATAATTAGCACATTTGCTATGGACTTCTTTTCTCCCCTCTTCCTCATCTCATATCACTCAGATACTTTTTGCTACTATATTTTCCTTCACTCCTGTTTTACATAAAGAGGTGGCCCTATTCCACATCAAGGCAAATCCCTTAACCTGTTCAAGTGATCCCATTCCATCCTGTCTCTTCCAACAGACTGCTCATTCTCCATTCTCTCCCTGTCTACTGCTTCCTTCCCAATAGCCTACAAATATGCCCATGTCTTCTCCATCCTCAAAAAATCCTCACTTGATCCTTTCATTCTTACTATCATCCTCTATCTTGTCTTCCCTTTGTGGCTAAACTAGTTGAAGAGGCCATCTACAACAGATGCCTCCACTTTCTCTCCTCTCACTCTCTTCTTAAATCCTTACAGATGCAGCTTCCAACCTCCACTAACACTGCTCTCTCCAAAATTACTGATGATCTCCTAATTACTAAATCCAATGGCCTTTTTCTCAATCCTCACTCTCCTTGACTTCTTGTCATCCTTGGACACTGTTTACTACCCTCTTCTCTTTTATGCTCTCATCTCTCTAGGTTTTTAGGACATAAGTCTCTCCTGTCTCTTCTCAGACCTACCTGAATGCTCTTCAGTCTCCTTTGCTTGACCCTCATCCAGGTGTCCTGCGGGGCTCTGTCCTGGACTTTCTCCTTTTCTCCTTCTATACTATTTCACTTGGTGATCTCCTCAATTCCTACGGATTTAACTATTATCTCTACGCTAATGATTCTCAAGTCTACCTATCTTGCCCTAACCTCTCTGCTGTCCTCCAATCTCCCATCTCCAGCTGCCTTTCAGACTAACTAGATGTCCAGTAGACATCTTAAACTCAACATGTCCAAAACTGAACTCATCTTTCTCCCTAAGCCTTCCTTGTTCCTAATTTTCCTCTCACTGTTGAGAGCACCATGATCCTCCCACGTTCCCAGGTTTGCAGCCTATATGTATCATCCTTGACTTCTCATTATCTCTCAATGCCCCCCCCCATATCCAATATGTTGCCAAGGACTTTCAATTTCATCTTTGTAAAATCTCTCAAATATGCCCCCTTCTCTCCTCTGACCCTGCCACCACCCTGGAGCAGGCCCCCATCACCTCACACCTGGACTACTACAATAACCTTCTGGGGGCATCCACCTGCCTCAGCTCTTTCCCCACTCTAGTCCATTCAGCCACTAAAGTGATTTTCCTAAAGCACAGATCCAATCATCTCTCTCTCTTTCTCTTTCACACACACACACACACACACACACACACACACACACACACACACACACCCTCTACTCAATAAACTCTAGTTTATTTATCCCTTCCAGGATCAAATACAAAATCCTCTATTGTTCAAAGCCCTTCCTAACCCAGCATCCCCCTACCTTTTTAGTCTTCTTACGCTTTCCTCCCTGACAAGTACTTTTTGATCCAGTGACACTCGCCTCCTGACTGTTCCACAAACAAGATCCTCCATCTCTTAGGTCTGGGCATTTTCTCTGGCTGTCTTCCTTTTTCTTTTTCTTTTTTTTAGGCAATTGGGGTTAAATGACTTGCCCAAGTTCACACAGTCAAGTGTTTGGTCTGAGGCTGCATTTGAACTCAGGTCCTCCTGACTTCAGAGCCGGTTCTCTATCCACTGCACCATCTAGCTGCCCTTCTGGCTGTTTTCCATGCCTGAAATGTTCTCCTTTCTCATCTCTGCCTTCTGGCTTCCTCCAAGTCTCAACTAAAATCTCATCTTCTACAGGAAGCCTTTCCCAACCCCTCTTAATTTTAGTGCCTTTCCTCTCTTAATTGCTACCTTTTTATCCTAGAAATAGATTAGTTGTATATATCTGTTGGCTTGTTTCTCCTGTTAGCATGTGACTCTGTGAGGACAGAAGCTCTTGTTTGACTTTTTGTATCCCTGACACTTAACGTGGTGCCTGG